GGGGAGGGGGGGTTTGCATATGCACATGTAAGTCCAGGGACTCATAGAAACCCCATCCTTAGAATAAAGATGGAGGTATGGTTCTTTCGAGGTCCCAACTGCGACATTATGAAAGTTAACATTTTATTGAACAATCTGAGTACATTCATGGGAGTTTACTATTTTTTGTAATGTATGCATGGTTTTCATGGGGGTAACAAAATGGGAAGACAGAGCTCCATAGTATGACCTTCCCTTAAAGATATTAAGAGCTCCAAAATCATATATCTAGAAAGGAGTGTGAGTTCCTGCATAAAGTTGCCGTTGCAATATTCAAACTATATTTGCCTTCTAGAGTTGAAAAAAATATTGAACGCAATGACAGTATATAATGTCAAATAAGCCAGCAAAAGAAGACCAAGTAGTAATGGAAATTATGATCAAAGACAAACATTAAGTTGCGCGGGGTGGAGCCCAAGTAGACAAGGAAGGCCTTGAGAGCAAAAATTCTATGTGAAAAAAGGGATTGTATACAATGAGACCATTTACCTTTGGTATAGGGAGGTCACAATTACTTAACCATCCGATGTGAAATCTGATAGCTTGGGAGTGTCACAAAGTTCGATAGCTTGGGAGTGTCATAAAGTTCGAAAAAAATTCTTTGAACTTTGAGCTTGGTCAATGAAATAAATGCAGCCACCCAATTTCACATCCAATGGTCAAGATTAATTGTGACCATCTTGTACCAAAGGTAAATGGTCTCATTATATATTTATCCATATGACAATAGTATTAGGCCCAAAAACAAAGACTGAGTCATGTGGTTGGGGGTGGGGGATTTTTCTAGAGAAAGAAAGAAGTTCAGGTTCGTGCACTAAATAAATACCAGAAACCAACTTTATTTCGAGAAGATATAATTATTAACCCAACAAAGCCATCTAAAGAATAAAAAAGTTGCGACAATTTATCAAAAAGCTCCCACCCAGACCACTGAAAATTGATATATTTTCCTGAAACAGTATCACCAAATTAACAGTTACTCTAAATAGATCTAAACTCCATCAGTAAGAAGTATTTTAATGATTCAATTATATTTGACAAGCCATAACTAAACCAGAACACTCTGTTTGGGTAAAGGATACTGAAAGCACTCTTCATTAAAACAAGAAAGATCTGCAAGGGGAATAAAACAAGTGGAATTAATTCTATTATAACACAGTGACACTCATGACTTAATTGATTCAAGAAAGGCGCTACCCCATATTATATAGCAATTTCCTTGAAAGTTTCTAAGCAAAACGCTCCAAGATCTGGCTTGCCCAAGCCACGTTCTGAAGTTTCTACAATTTCCTTCTGGATCCTTCTTGAGCATAGGGAAAAAGACGTCTGTTTCTTGACAACAAGATCTAAAAATTTATCAAAATAATTAAGTAATATAATTTTTTACCTACACATGAATAAGTGAATCAGTCAATTATTTAGGAAATCCAAACTTTAAGAAATTAAAAAAAAAAATTGAAGGAACTAGAAAACAATTGAGCACAAAAAAAAATAAAATAAATGATTTAAATCACTAATAAGTGCGACCATCCTAGAAATTTTTAGTTGTTGACTCAGCCCAATGAACTTCCAGAAATTTAAACCAAACTCTTTATATCTTCAGAGGAAAAACCAATAAATCTGATATGCTCCCAAAATGTTTTCCTCAATTTTATTAGATTTAACATAATTTTATTAGATTTGACATTTTGTAATGCTAACTTAAAGAAGTGAAATTCACAAAAATCCACTGAATTCGTCAAGTTACCAAATTTTTTAAAACCCCACAAAGTTACACAAGAAATACACCAAATTATTCTTGAATTATCAATTAATAACTAAAACTAACATGTCAGAAAAATGGAAAAGAAATCCTCCTTTCTTCAAATCTGAAATCAACAAATATGAAATAATTTACGCAAATTACACCCTCCATTAAAAGGAAAATCACTGAATATGAGGAATTGTCCAAGAATAAGCCAAACACGGACCTAATTTTAACTAAATTCGATAAAACAAAATCCAAGGTTTTCAAAAACCTCACAGTTTCAAAATAATTGCGCTAAAGTAGGAACGCAACAAGACTAAAACCCACAAATAATCTGTCGTCAAAGCCAATTTAAAGCAAACACTTGCATTCAAAGCCCTTGAAATTCAATTTCGCCAAAATAAAGAAAAAAATACAGCTACTTTTTCCCTTCTAAAAATAAACATTACATTTACAATTAAAACAAAAAACCCAACATTTACTCTTACAATTAAGTTACCAAACTCGAAGCCATAGGATGCACCTTACGAATCCGCCATTCATTCCAATCCAGTTGCAGAGATAGAAGCCCTTGGGCTTCAATTACTAGAACCTTCCTTTGCCTTTAAGGAGATGCCATAAAAAGAAGAGGAAACCAAACTGGAATACCTATATAATGACTGTACATTCATAACCAGAGAGTTATATACTATTATTTATATCAGAAACACATAGACAAGAGAATAAAAAACTGTGTAAAGTGAAAAACCTAATTATTAAAATGTAGGGTTAGGGTTTTGAAGAGGTGGAATGTCGAAAGAGGAAGGTGACCTGCAACTGTCGCCTGCTTCTTATCTGTCTTCTGTCTGTTGTTTGTGTGCCCTAAAAATGTGGAATTAAACTAAAATTCCACGACGATGGAGCGTCGGCAAATATTAAATTCAAAAATGTTAATAAAAAGACCCTGTTTAATGAGGTAATTTCGGATGTGCCACTTAATAAGAAGATAAACAAAACGAAATGCGGACGGTAATTTTGTGTTTCGCGAAATTTCGGAATCATTTTGTTTTGTTGGGATTACGATGTCGCCCCTCGTTTTTGAGAAAGAGTTGCGGGTGTACCCCTGTTATCGGTCGATAATGACGAAAATAACCCTGTTCGCAATTTTTTCGGTTATGGTACATGAAAATAGTGTGTCGGGGAACTTGTAGATTTCGCGAAATTTTGCCGCAATTTGGTGGTTATGGAACGGCCTCTTGGAACTTTTAGTTAGTTGAGTGTTGAAAAGTGAAAAACATCAAATTTAGTTCTTTTTTCCTCGTCTTTATTGTTTTTCTCAAATTTTGGCTAAAAATCTAACTGCTTTTAGCAAGGGGTGCGGTTTCTACAAGATTGCAACTTTAAACAAAACAATTAAAGCACATCTCCACTTCCAAATTTTATTGTAACATGTAATTTTTGGTGTAAAATATCTTTACGATTATTTTAAAATTTATTTTTATATCTAATTATAAAATTTTAAATTTAAAAAATAATCAAAATCAAGCATGAAAATATTAAAAATAGACGGTCTAGATAATTTATTGTAAAATACACTATTTTTAAAACTCAAAATATTTTTTTTATATATTCATACATCATGAGCTACTCAAAATATTTTTTTTATATATTCATATATCACAAGATATCAGTTATAAGGTTTTTCAACATTAAAACAACATTCTACGATGGATTTTTGAAGTACATAGGTAAAGTCTACACTTTAAGGTTACAACCTTATATACACTTCTTCCTTTATCAAAATTCGATTAAATTTTGTACGAAGTAAGCGAAATTTCGGGCGAATTGCAAAGATAATCACCGTGAGATTCGGACAAGAACCCTCTTTAGCGCCTTCTTCAGAAAATGACCAAATTGCCCCGTATTTATATCAGACAAACTCCAGGAAATACGCCTGAAATTTTGGGTAATAATTTCGCTTCGGTGAATGGGATTAAAAGGTAATTTTCAAAAAACTATTTTTGGGGAGCAGAAGTTATATAATAAGAGTTCCTATATTATGCTCCTGCAGGATCATACTATAATCTACTCTTTTGGGCCGATGTCGAAGAATTTTTCAATCTAAAATTTTAGAAACCATATAAAAAACACTAGAAAATTATTTTCAAAAGAGACAACATGATTTTAAAGTTTTATAATATTCATATTTCACCATTAAGATTCTGGACGGTCTTCAGTCAACCTTGGTACATTACTTTTTTTTCAATTACATAGAGTGCGATTTGGAGCCAAACCCAAGTAATTTGGAAAAGGTTATTATGATGATGATGGATTTTGGATGGTCTGTAGTCAACTTTGATACATTACTTTTTTTTCGAATACTGGGAAAGTGTGATGACTACATTACTTTTTTTTCAAACACAGAGAAACTGCGATTTCGAGCCAACCTCAATTAATTTAGAAAAAATTATTTTTATGATGATGATGATAGAGAGTGGTATTTCAAAAAAATTTAGAAAAAACATCTTATTGACCCCCAATTTTCAAACAGTAAACTCTCCCAACTTTTTTCTTTCAAACGACATTTTGAGTACCCTCTAATTCTCTCCTTTTTACATTGTCTTACTTTTTCTAACAGTAACAATTTCTCTCATATGACATAAAGACATCCTCCTTCTATCCCGAAATTGTTGATATGAAATTTCATGTAAAAAAATGAGAAGAGGGGGCGGAGGGAACAAGAGCGTATTGACAGTTTTAGGGAGAATTTAATGCAACTTAAAAGAGCATTATTGGGAGGTGCTACTGCAAAATAAGAAATTTGGGATCTATATGATATTTTCTAGTGTTTTTATTAAGGTGATCCAAAGGTTGAAGAAGTTATATCCCTAAAATTTAGGTTCATACAATTACACCTAGATTGGGTTCCATCTGAGGGAGGACCATGCTGCTTCAAGCATGAATTCTTTTCGCATAAAAAAAATTTAAAAACTTTTAAGATATTATAAATTTTGACATAACCAAATTAGATGCAAAGAGAATACACTTTGTAGTATTTTATATTAGGCCTTAAACAATCCAATTATGGGGCACTTTCAAATTTTATTATAATATATAATTTTAGTATAAAAAATTCTTAAGATTGCCTGAAAATCTATTTCCAACTCTAATCATAAAATTTCAAACTCCAAAAATAATTCAAATCAACCATATCTACGAACATATGAAAATCTTGAAAATGGACTGTTTAGATAAATGTTGCAAGCGTATTATTTTTATGACTAAAAATCTTTATCGTTTTTATATTCATATATCTCGATATCGAGATGACCAATTAGAAGGTTTTTCAACATTAAAACAACATTTTCCGGTAGACTTTTGATGTGCAACCTTAGTTCTCCATTTTAAGGTCCCAACTTTATGTAATCTTTTTCCTTTACATTATCATCAAGCAAACAACAAAGAAAGAGAAGTTAGAGGAGAGAGAGTAGAGAAAGATATTTTGTCAGGGAAAAGTTAGAGAGGTATATAAAGCACAGTTAGAGAGAGAGAGGCAGGCTTGAGATAGAATCAACACACATGCACAGTCGGTGGGAGATGCTGCCACAATTGAGTAGAAGACAGCCATGAAAAGCCCCAAATTTTGGCTGAAGTTCATCATTTTTCCCTTAATTCGGTTCAAATTCACACTAATTCAGGCAAAATTTCATATTTTATATTATCTTACAAAATCATCTAGCATGATAATCTATCTTACTGAAATCTGAATATGAAATTTCCCAACATGAATGTATACAATAAGATAGTATTTACATCATCATCAAAGCTTTTTTTAATTAATTGGAGTCGGCTATACGAGTTAATAAAATAGTTCTTACACAAAAGCAAAAGTAACCCCAATTTGTTGGGTCTGCTCTGAGCGTGAATAAACAAATTTTGGACTTCAAACATGGTCATTAACACATCTCAAGTTGTTGGATTTTTCATCAGATAGCCAGAATTACTGTCTTGATTACCAGATCAGAGTGATGTTTTCATGTATGAAATAGCAATGCGAAACTAGCCGTACACAATCAGTATCTTTATCACTTGGTTCACAACTATGATTTTTCCGTGCACAAAATAACAATTCAAAACTAGAACAGGTGTCTTCATTAGTGGTTCATAACTGCTAGTTTTGACACAATGACATATTTTTGATGGGAACTAGCCGGTTCTTAACTTGTCCCACTTTTTATTTATTATTATTATTTTGTGAATAGTCTTTTATTTTTATTTTTATTTTTTATTTTATTTTGTTCTCTGATTTTTAATATTTTATTGGCTGCCTCAATGCATTTACTATGGTTTCAATATTATGGAGAACTTTTGGTAAAAATCAAAGTGATGTCTCGGTTTCAATAGTATGGTGAAATAGTTACTTCAGCCGAAATTTCGTTTCCCCAAATTCGGCAAAACATCAGGGAATTTATGCCCGATGGAGAATACTTACAAATAAAATAATGGGACCCAGTTAGAGAAATAAATTGACCTTCTATCGAACATAAAATACATATACAGATAAATTAAAAAATTTGGGTATTAATCATTGAATTGCATCTCATACGTGACACTTGTGGTTGTTGTTGGTGAGTAGTCATTTTCTAGTGTATGGCAGCTAGGGTTTTGGCATTAACGCTTATTAATTATTATGTAAGTTATTATGAAAATAAGAATATAGAAATCTTAGTGTATCGAGAGAATACGCAGTCACTCCAAATGGTTTGTTCATGTTCACCCTTAATGTTTTTAAATTTGTATTCATATGTTTGTTCTGAGGTTTGAAAATTGGTGATTTGGATGAAAATCGTTGGATCCTGGTTGAAAATTACTCATAACAATTCGAATCCTGTAAAACCGCCTGGATTGGACAGTCCATACCTGATTCTGTCAGTGAAATGATGCTTATTATATAAGTAATTATGAAATAAAAATATAGAAACCTTTGTGGATTAAGTCAATATGCGGTCACTCCATATGGTTTGCTTATGTTCACCCTTAATGTTTTTAAATTTGTATTCATATGTATTCTTATGTTCACCCTACAATCATATATATATATATATATATATAAAAAAGTGCGCAATCTAGCTTAGACAAATTAAATGCGTTAATGATCGAGATTGAATCTGGGCCGATCTGACGATCATAGATCTCTGGTAGTGTTTGAATTTTAATTTTTTTTTCTACAAATCCAAATCATTTGAAATTTTAGGTGTGTGTTAAAAAAAGAGAGGTGAATATTCTAAAAATATATAATAAAAAAAAATTACATGAAAGTAATTAACCAAAATACCCCTGTAAAGTTTTGAGGATATTTTGATCAATTTATTTTTACGGATAATTTTTTTTATATTTTTTATTAGGTTTGCCTTGATGAGAAGAACACAACTTAAAATTTCAAGTTATTTGAATTTGTAAAAAAAAAATTAAA